CATGTTAAGATGGCTAATGCAACACATGCAAAAATGCAACTAAAATAGGCTCGGCTATTCTAAGAATGGCATGTGAAATGCGGCAACTCGATACACGTATTCAAGTTGGAATTGAAACACAATGCGGTTAGCATGATGCGTTGAGCCCGGTGCATACAAAACAAATGAATGATGCAAACATGCGAGCATAAATATGCTAATTGAAACATGTCCTAAACTAACCATCAAAAGCTAGTAAATAAAAAGGAGAAAGACGTGGGGTTGGAAGACATTCACACATGCACGCACACTTATTACAAATTCGCCCTCTCGACGAAGGGTCCGAAAGAATAATACAAACCCAATAAATAATTAACTACTCTAGCTAATTGATTATTACAGACCCTAAATTAATTAACAAATTAGTTACAAGGGGAGGCTGCGGCAGCCCCGCCTCGGAATGCTTGGATGATGTATGCTCGATTCGCCTCACTCGGAAACCCGTCGCCACGCCACTGTTGCCTCTGTTAGCACTGTTCTGCACCTCTGAGAGCCGTGAAAATACTTGTGATGCTTTTGGAACACTCCCATAGCACCGTGGGATGTCACCGGCCATAATGCAAGTCCACCGGCCACTGGAATACAGTTATCGACCAAAAATGGAACCACCGGCTAGACTTTGGTAGCCAGCCGGCACTGAAAGTGCCCGACCGGCTATTACTTCCTGCAGAACACTGGTTTTGCTGCAGCAGAGGACAAACAGTGCATGGCAAGGTATTTTCAAGGCAATGTGTGCATAGCCACTCTCCCTATCATGCAATGAACTCAAGGGAGCATGGCTCTCGGTCCTCGGGCCACCAATCATGCATTTCAATGCATGATGGCCAAAGGTGCCAAGTTTGCAAATCAATGTAAAATGAATGCAACGAAAACAAATGAATGCTACACACTCTATCATGTTGGGATCAAGAGTGTCGGCGACCGAGGATTGAGGCGTATTTCATCACTTTAAGTGCGAACACACCTCATACCTCATGTTTGGTTTGACACCCCAAACCAAACACAATGCAATGCATGTATGCAATATGGCTCAAATATGCAAAATGGCTCATGTGTGCAATATGAGGCTAAGTTAGCAAAGCATGCCAAATGCAATGCCACCTAAACATGCAAATGTACAATGTACTAAACATGCAAGATGCAATGCAATGCGACCTAACATGCAAGCTAAGCTAATGTAACACAAACACACCTAATATGCAACAAGGTTATGCGATGCAACTAGATAAATGACCTGCAATATAATAAACACGCAAACATGGTATAATGCAAGCATGCAACAACACACAAATGCAACATGTCAAACATGCAACTATATGCAAAGATGGGCTTAAATCGAAATGGGAAGACCTCAGCCAATCCCAAAACAGTGGCCAAAGTCATGGTTTTGGAGCATAGAAATGCAAAACAAACATGTGTATGCAAGTGGTCCAACACTTGGGCAACAATGCATAACTCTCAAGAGTGCTCAAAGAATGACAAAAGTAGAAGTGTAACAGCACTATAAGCTCTGAAAATAAGCATGGAATGATGCCAAATCAGCCCAAAGATGCAAGCATGGCATGCAAGAAGGCTCAAGGCTTAAAGCTAGCTAAGGAGCTTATACCAAGGCTATATGAACCAAGCCCCAAAGAGCCAAGGACAACCAAAACAGTCCTAAATCATGCTAAAAGGAGTCTAAAACATGCAAGGGCCAAAGCTAAAACAAGCCAACACCAAGAGCATAAGGCATGAGGCATGCAAAGCTAACAAAGAGGTGTTATACTACACCTATTACAACCAAACGAGGCATGATTTAGGCAACTAAAAACAAAGTTATGGCATGTTAAAATCAACCCAAAAACCTACTTAGATGGCCTCTAAATGATCTAAACATGATGGCATGCACAATGACCTAAACATGGAGCATAAGGCATCAACTCTTCAAAGCATGGAAAGGATGGAAAATGCAAGCATACAAGCACGAGACATGGACTGAAATAACATGATAAGTGATTCCAAATCACTGAAATGGGCCAAGTAAAACATGCTAAAGACTCACACACCCAAGGCCAACAAGCTAGATTACATGGTAGCTATGTAAAACAATGCAAGCATGACCAAAAAGACCAAAATGAGAGCTTAAGCATGTCATAACAAGGCCAAAAGCTTCAAGGAATCAAGCCAAAATATGTAAGCATGATAGTCCAAATGCTAGACACATGTTTAAGGCAAACAAAGGGATTACAAGGCATGTATATGATGCATGTAAAGGACCACTAAACCAACTCAAAAAAAGAGGTATAACATGACAAAATAACACCAAATACCCACTGAAATGATGCTAGAAACAACTAAACATGCATGCTCCCATATTAAGCCAATAATACAAGCAAATAAGACAAAAAGGGTGAGGGGTGTCCCTCCCCTATACATGACCTCAAAACCACTTCTCCACCACTAAAAATCCTCTAGATTTCAGTGGTGAGAAGGTCAAAATAAAGGGGTCCCAAAGCTCAAAGAGAAAGGCACAAAAAGAGGCCAAACAATGCCTAAGAGAGGGTGGACAACCCCAAACACAAAAGAGACCTTAATGAAACATCTTAAACATGAAAAATTAGAACTTTTATCAGTTATACACAAAGCTCAAAATAGCATGCAAGATAGGTTAAAAGCTTGTACAAAAATGGGAAATATAAAGCAATAGTGCTCACCCTTGAAGAACACTTCAAGAACACCAACCCCAGTCCCTTCCTCTGATCAAAACCAACCTAAAAACTTTGAAACCAGTCCCTCAACACCTCAGTAACCGAAGTATGGTGTAACACTAGGTGCCTTAGTGCAAAAATAGGAACAAAAACACACTTTTGAACACTATTACACACACAATCTAGAGAGAGGGGGAGATATAGATAGAGAGTGGTATATATGATATATATCTCTGTTATATATCTCCGATTTGCTCAACCCCTCTAAAGGAGAAGGGAGGCCTCTTTTATAGAACAAAACAAAGGCCTAAGCTTCTTGGAGAAGCTAAGACAAAGGGGTCAAGTTTCCTCAAGAAGCTAGAACAAAGGTTCAAGCTTCTTGGGGAAGCTAAGACAAAGGTTCAAGCTTCTTGAGGAAGCTAGAGCAAAGGGTTCAAGCTTCCTCAAGAAGCTAGAGCAAAAGGTTCAAACTTTCTCAAGAAGCTAGAGCAAAAAAGGGGCAAAGGGTGAAAATCCTCCATACACATGTATAGAGGACAGGTATGTGTGCTCCAGCTAGCACAGCTGGCATGCACAATACCTAAAAAAGACAAAAAAGAAGCCCCGGTCAAAAAATATGGCCGATTGACCAAACAAACGGCCGGCCGACCAAAAACAATGCCAACCAGCCATCACCAATGGCCGGTAGCAACAAAATAGGGCCGGTGGCCTCAAGCCAAGGCCGGTGAGGTGTGGGGATGACTAACAAGCCATTCTCTGCCCTCAGAAGCAAAAACACAAGTGTTTGGTCCATGACCAAGCACAAAACAGCCAAGTTTAGAGATCTTGAGGCAAGGCGCGTAGCTGAGACCTCCGAGAACTCAAAACGAACACGAACACGGATGATCATCGAGTGTTCAAACGATGACGTCCAAGTCTTGAGGACGATAAAAAATGGGATGCCTACACGGTGATGATGGTCAACATATAGTTTGCTGATCAATTGATCACCTTCTATACATCAAGAAAACTCATATATATAAAACATCCTCCAATATAGAACACTTTGCATTTTACTTCTCTTTAAGAATCTAGATGGGTTCAACCCTAAAAATAGCAAATAGCTAACAACACATTTTATACTAAACAGAGCCGCAAAGACCGCTCACTTTACTACTTGAGCGGTGTGACTAAAGACGGTGCTCACATATAGGCCACATATAGGTCAACCGCTCAAGTGGAATATTTACCACTCGAGAGGTAAAACATGCTTTTCCTAGAAGTTCAGAACAAAGGTAGAGATACTAGATGAGCCATTTCACCGCTCGAGTGCACAAAAGACTGCTCAAGCGGTTTATTAACTTTGACTTTTTTCTTGGCCTTGGGGGCACTGCCCCTCAGCCCCCGTACTTAGTTAGCGAAGTGACAAACAAGGAATGCTCAAGTCAAGATACGAAATGTCAGCACAAATTCCTTTACATAGGTACACTTCGGGTTGGATTCACATCTAAACTCTCATAACTCACAGATACTATAGAGCGAATAAAAATATAACTGAATGAAGTTTTATCCAACGAGATTGCTAATTACAGAAACCTAACATATGTCACTTAAAAAGTTAAGTGCCTCTTAACATGTACACTAAGACTTAAAAAAATCTAAGTCATATGAAACCTATTTATTTTTCATTGAATTTATAAATACTAAATATAATAATCGATATACACTATTATATACTCACTACCACTGGTACCACTAGCACTACCACTACTACTACTACCACTACCACAATCATGCCACTGCAACTATAACGCCCTGAAATAATTAACAATAACCCATTTATTAATAGTGCTACACACTACAACAAAAAAGGGTTTTTACGGCCCCAAATGCACATCGTGAAAATGATTCTACGACGCGCAAGGTAAAGCCGTGTTATGACCAGTCATGGAAAGTAATTTACTTTAACGGCATGTCGTAGTACGCCGTTAAAAACCCTTTAACAACAGATCTCGTGTTTGAATTTTCTACAACTACTTTTGCATGCCGTTATTCAAGGGACAAACCACAACGTTCATTACTAGTCATTGAATATTTAATACAATGACCTATTTTGCCTACCGTGGATAGCCCAAGTTTCACAGCATTTTTCGCATGTCGTAGAATATGTATATTTAAGAAAAATAAAAATAAAAATTAGCTGGTTTTGTTTCACATGTTCTGTATAATCTAAGAAAACATTACAAACAAGCTTCACAAGTGTGTATATATATAAGCATTAATCAAACACCAATTTTTATTTATTTATTTTTAGTGAATAAGTCATAAAATAAAACAGGAAAATATATAAGATTCCAAGGGCAATACCTCAGGCCTTACCATAGTTATACAATAAAACCAAACTAACAAAAACTATAACCAAGCTAAAGACCTAAAAGAAAGAAAAAACCAAAGGGGCCAAACAACCTGTTCAACATCCATATCTAAAAGAAAATAGGGAGGCAGAACAAGAACAAAAGGGCCCATATCAGCAAACAGAGAAAACCAGGAAAGCAAAACCGACTAAGTCCAAACAACTAAGCCAAGGCATTACTTTATCACAACCAATAAGCAATGGTAACACAAAGACCTGTAGACAAACTAAAAAGCCTCCATATGTATGAGTAGCCGCAATAACTCTGTACCAAGGCCTTCAGGGTATATCACTATCTGGTTACGGCAGAACAGCAAGCTTCATGGGGACACCATAACCGACAACTACCCAAGGAACAAATCTCCACCATAGCCCGCAGGAGAAGGGACAGTAACACTGATACACAACTGAAATAAAAAGAAAATTTCCAAAATCACAAAGCACTGAGAGGAGGAAAGAAAATAAATAGAACAATGGATTGACCCAAGGCACAAAGAACTAGAACTAGCGCAAAGTTGCAGCCTGGCTCCCGTACAACACCATCACTCTCTGATAAAACCAAGAAGAATTTGCTAAAAATTGACTGGGCTACCTAGATCATACCCAGCCAAACCATCTGCATAACCTGGAATATCCAAACATAGTAAGCAAGATGAAATGAACTAGCAGCAACCACACTTAGTATATACTTAGATCATTCGACCCACAAACTCAAACTCTCAACAAGAAGATAAATAACAGTGAACACAAAAAACAAAAGTTTATCCTCACAGACACTAGGCTCACAAAACAAAGAATTCCCTAACAATAGCACCAGTAATAGAGAACTTGCAAAACCAACAAAGTTAGGACACAATTTATAACTTACCTTCTCTCAACCTACAACTCATTGCCAACTCCACACCCTAAGTATGTGCTCACAAAACTGAATTCACTGGCCCTAAATGAAGGCCAACTTTGCAACTTGCATAGCAAACAATTAGGAAAAACACAGTATATACAAAACTCATTTTGAGCTCATAGCCACTTAACCCAGAATATGGAATCTCACAACACTCAACCCTCAAAACTCTTATCTTCCACATTTTTTAATTCAACAGCAACCATACACCAGCACACATGGATGGGAAAAAACCGTCTGCAACAAAAAGGTTACAAAACACAGCCAACTCATAAAGTCGAAGCCTCTTTAAGGATAGAGGCTGGAAGTCTCCATTTGGACAAAAACCACTCATCCTTTGAATTTCTCTTCAAGTTTTTGAGAGATAGAACTCTAAACCTGATCATGTTAACAGTATTTACAACAACAACATCTTTAGGAACTTTCTCTTTTGTAAAAACTCTGTTATGCAAGTATCTTGCAGGTGCAAGGAAGAAGAAAAAGAAGAACTATCTTCCACACTCCTTTCCTTTTTCCCAGAAGTTCACATATCTTATGTTTACTATTAAACAAAAAGAAATAAACAACAGGGTCCTAGGCCCTACTTATAAGGTGCTTTCTTGCTGGCAAGGAAGTTCATTATTGTCCATCACTAGTGAGCAATCTTGTTTGACCGATAAATTACTTAAACCATAGTTCTTCTCTATATCATATGAACATTGCCTCGATACCAGTGATGACATAAAATATAAGAGACAAAAAGAGTCAGCAGCAGCCATCCCAATATAGATGAATCAGACAATTAAGGAACTATAGAGGAAAGAGGAGAAGAGAACTTATGGCATATGTGATGCCATTTCCAAATACACTTTTTTCCAGTTTTTAGTCCCTTAAAAAAGAAAAAAAAAAAAAAAAAAGTAGTTTAAAAATCCATTTTGCATAGTGTTGCTCAAGCAATTATTTCACAAACTTATAATAATAATAATAATAATAATAATAATTAAACAACAGCCAACGAAAGGGAGAAGCATACACTGCTCCCAACAAAATAAAAGAGAGAAGGTAGTATTAAAATCATTAATAATCTCTTTCCAATAATATATGATGCTCTCTCTCAACCAATTACTATCAGTTTTCTATTGAAAATGTTTCTCATTTAATCTCTCCATCACTGGTAAAACATTTATTAAAATTTGAAAACAGGACACCTAAAGCAAATGACTTGCAATCTGTGGCCAGGTGTGGTCTTTTCAAAGCAAAACGACCACAGTTTAACTCCTCATGGATTACTATAATAATGTAGTTTTCTTTTTTACATTCAAAGGATATGGTTTCCCCAACATTTGCAGTAGGAAAAATGTCAAAAGAGTAGTGATTTTATTAAGAAAAAATCTGTCGCTCAAAATCTACCTTATAGTGACCAATTATATTGACACGACTTACACGCCTAAATAAATGAAGTTATCCATAACAATCAACAAATCTGGTAACATCTAAGATCGGAACTATTAGCCAGTCAAAACAAGAGACATGCTTCCTTAATGTTCAATATTATAGATGACTGCTCCATACCTTCACTTGTTAAAGAATTGAAAGGAAAATTATATAGGGTTGTTTTTAACCAGTAATAGTTGGCAAGCCTATTAGCATAGCACTCATTCTTTTGAAAACAAAAACAATACTATAAATTTCATAGCGTAAGTCAAGAATGGGTTTTTATAGTGCAAGTGCACTATGTAGCTATAATGGCATGGACAAATAGGAGGGGAAGGTACATAACTTATACTATAGCTGCTCCACTGTACTAGAAAAATAGGAAAAGTATGGGGAGAAAACGGAAGTAAAGAACTTAGACTAACCCTGGTTCAACGTCTTAGCCCTTGTTGCTTGGCATGTTCTTCAAGACGTAGTAGTTCTACTAAGAAAGGAGTAGCATCTCCTTTCTATTGACCCCGCTCCCTAACCTGCACCCAGCAGATTCAGCAATTGCCCACCCATAGACAACTAAAATTCGATATTAAAATAAAAAATGTATGCTCAAATCAAGAGTAATATACCTTTACCCAGCCATTAGAAACAACTATCAATGCAACATTCTTATCACCAAGGAAAACAAAGCTAAATTCTCGCCCAATAGATGGTACCGTATAATCCACTTTGAATGTGACATCCTATTCAAAAGCAGATTGGTTCAGATCTAAAAATATCTTACTCATTCATTAGGAAAATGATAGATTGCAATCATAGCTATAGCTAAAGCATTTAAATGAGCACCTTTCCCATACACAGTTTCCTTAAATACTCTCTACTTTCCCATGCAAATGGCTTATCAACACCACTTCTATGGGCCTAGAAATGTAAATGGGAAAGGGTTAAATAAAGAAACAAACAAGATGAACATAAGGTACAAAATATGAAACAAATAATGCAGACTGATTAAACTTACCAATCTTGGAGAATAAGGATGACAAAGTGATTATCTTCTCAGGGGGGATTTCTGCCTTGGTGCTCCCCAATATCACGAAACTATCCCCAGAGGGAACAGCTTTTACTTTTCCTCTCAACCATTTTTAACAGATTAAAAAAAAAGAAAAAAGAAAAAAAAAGGAATACATATTAGGCTAAAAATTGTAACATACAATCAACTAGAGTAATCAAATAAGAAAAATACTCTGTTTGGTTAGTTAGAAAAGAGAATCAAAGCAAGAGGAAGCTCACCTCACTTGGGACTTTTGTCGAACACGTTGTCTTCAGCAACCAAGGACCATATATGTACATGAAATTGAACACATCAATTAGGGTTTTGGGGCAAGACCAATATCAATTCTAACCAACTTAATCAAACATATATGAGTGTGTATACGTATACATGCAAAATTCTCCAATGCAAAAAACATTAATCAAATCAAATAGATGAAATAGAACACTCTAGAAAATAGAACACAATAGATGAAATTGATAGTTTAAAGGATAAAAATGATCAACTAAACTCCACGAAAAAAAAAAAAACATTAATCAAATCAATGAAACAATAACATCAAAATAATTTCAAAAAATTTATGATAAATCAAAGATAAAATAATTTAAAACATTTATAAGAAACATTCAAAAGAAAATCACAATTTAAGGGAAATGTAGAATCCAAGGAATGATATTCATCAAAAGGTAGTGGATCTACTCTCAGTTATGATCATATAATTTAAACAATCTTGAACTTCCATTATTAATTTACAGCCAGTTGTGTAATGAAAATTTTAGAACATCCATATAACATATTCTATTTCTCACAAAATAGCAAACATCCATGGGAAAAATAAAATCAAGGTTTACTCAAGAAAAGTAAGAACTTTAATGAAAGAAAAGAAAAGACAGAGTATTTCATCTTACTTAGCATATCCTCGGCCTTGAATTGCTTCCCATTTGTCCAGCTTCCAACACTAAAATCACATCCTAAAGAATCACCGACAATGAAAGTAGCAGCGTGAATTGTTTCCAAGTGAAGTGAAAGGGAAACAAGGAGAGCAGTGGCAAGAACCACAGCTATGCTTGCACTGCATCTTCCTTAGGTTTAGCCTCATCATCTTGGTTGGCCTCACCATCTTGTGCCTTTTCTTCAGGATCAGAAAGTGACCCCCAAAAAACCATGGACCATCTTCAATAACACTAGCATTATTAGAATTCGAGTCAAACAGTAAGAATATAAAACCATTATTAGTAGAAATTACCTCACTCAGGCCCTTTCCCCTCCACAGATTAACTGCATATGATTTCCCAAAAATAACATAAACTATAATATAACCATATAATTTAACAATCAAGACAATGCATTGGACAATATGGCAATTAAACTGTTAGACCTATCATAAAGCTTACCTCTTCTTTCACTCAACAACGGGGAAAAAAAAAACAACCTATATAAATATACACGTTGATATTAAGTACAGAAAAAAAATTTCAAAATTTTAGAGTTTAAATCAGTATATACCTTCAAAATCAATTAGAAAAGGGAATTGAAAACACTTCTTTCAAATTAATAACACTCAAATCCAAAATGACAATAATTTCCATCAAAAATCCCTCAAATCAATCCAAAATAATCAAATCCAACAATCAGAACAACTTCTCTAATTTAGCCCTAGCTCAATTTCATTCTAATCACACAAAAATCAACGCAAAAAATAATTCAATTTTGACTTTAAATCAGCATGTACCTAGTAATCAACAGTTGGATAAACGTAACCAAAATCGTTTCCTCTAGGTTTCCAACAACCAAATCAAACAACAATCAGATACCCAATTATACACGTATACAGACGTCGAAATTCCATTTCCGCCATTAGGGTTTGGAAATCGAACAATCAAATACCCAATTGCACACAAACACACGCATATATAGAAATCACTGAAGCTTTACATACATATATATATAACTTTGAACATAGATCATGAGCCAACAAAAATCGAACATAGATTTGGCCTCCATCGTTCATCTTGGTGGTTATAGCAGTAAAGGAAGAGCCCTCACATCTCAGATCTACCATAAATCCAACAAATTTGAAGCCTTCTTCATATCTCATATTGTCGTCATCCGAGAATGGCATGAAGATGGTGAAAATGGTAGTAGTGGTGGTGTGCGGTGGATGTGAGGGTGAAAAAGGCAGCGGCCATGGAAAAAGAGTAAAGGGCAGGGGAGATCGTCGTCGATATGGTGAGGAAAAGAGAAGATGAGGAGAGAGAAAAAAAATGTAGAGAGAAGTAAGCCACCGAAAGCAAATCGATGTCCTGAAGCAACATGCCGAGAAGAGAGAGAGAGAGAGGGCGGTAACGGAGGTGATGGCGGCGGCCCAACAGTCATAGTGGAAGTGGTGGTGATGTCGGAGGCAGAGGAGAGAGAGAGGAAGTGTGACCGTGTATGGGTTTGTAGAGTTGGGGTTTTTGATGATGATGAGTATGAGGTTAGGGTTTCTAGTAAGATTGAAGAGTTGGAGTTTTTGATTTATTTTCTTTTTAAATTTTTTTTTTGGTGTTTAGCGCTCAAAATTTTTATTTTGGCGCCTATTTTTATTTCGGTCATACTATTTATGATAGAAATTGCGAGTTGTGAAAAGTAAAATATTTTTAACGGTTAGCATATGTGCATCGTGGAAAGTGTACTTTTTAACGGTTGACTTTTTGTGCGTCGTAAAAAGTGTAATATTTTTAACGGTTGACTTTTTGTGCGACATGAAATGTTCAGCCTGTGTTTGGCAAGGGCTTTTTCAGTTTTTTTTGGCTATTTTAGCCACAAAAAACAAAATAGGTTATTTTAGCCATAACAAACAAAACATCACATCTAACATATAATTATTACATTCTTCTCTCACAAAAAAAGTCAAAAAAGCCAAAAAGCCCTTCCCAAATCAAGCTTTTTAGCCCAGGCTAAAATAGCCAAAAAAGCCAAAAAGCCAACCCACTTCCCAAACGGAGGCTCAATATTTTTAACGACTAGTGTACATGTGTCATGTAAAGTTGATGTATTAATGGCATGCCAAATGCACGTTGCAGAAAGTTTTATTATTTACGGTAAATATTGCAAGCTGTAAAAAAATCATTATTATTAGCATTCACGGCCTACGTAATAGGCACGTCGTGGTTGAGAAATTATTTACGACACGCAGAAAAAGCAAGTCGTAAAAGTGAAAAACCACGGCTTGTATTTATTGTATGTCGTTAATGTGGAGCCGTAAAAACTCAGTTTTGTTGTAGTGACAATTAATTAACAATCTCATATCTTCCATACATTTTATCTTTGTTGATTACAAAAAATGACATGCAATTAATATTCACGAATTCTAAATTCTGAATCTATAACACATAGCATGGATACAAGAGTAAAAAGAAAATAAAACCAAATAATGAAATACCCTAGTGGCTACAACTTTCTAAGACAATGCTTGGTTACAACAAAATGAGTTTAAACTCAATACATGTAAAGCCCGAGGCTTAATAAAAAAATAATTACATAAAGCAAACAAAAAGGAAACCTTAAGCTCTGAGTTCTCCCAAGCTATGTCCTCGGCGGAGATATATCATTAGCAACTGAAAATTGTTTTCCACATAGGATGAGCCAAAGCCTAGTCGAGATACTCTAACACAGTATTGAATCTTAGAAAAATTATAAGGTGAATGCACATGCATGCCATTTGTCAAACGTTCCTCATTTTCCATCTCAAAAAGATGCAATGCCAGATTATATATCAATTCATTAAAGTAATCATTTTTAAATAGAAAACAGGACAGTGGATACAAATCATTGAAAATCTTTAAATACGTGTATACCAATAAGCTATACAAGCACTACCAAAGCCATTTTACCAGTACTAACCAGAAGGATCGACACCTAACCGCGCGGGTTTTTGGACTTTCACCAAGGACACGCAGGCAGACATCATAACCATAACCACACCCCCTAACCAGATTCACCAAGGTATTCACATATTTTTCTCAAAAATTGATACATTTACAATGTTCAATGTGTAATGATGCTTAATGCACAATGGATGAGAAATTAGTTTCAATTTAACCTAATCCTCATGCAATCAATACTATCCTCCATCGATAGCCCAAAATAGATATTTCTATTCAATAGATAAATTCCAAATCAACAGATATATTTCCATCAATTACAATGGAAGTTATATTACATATCCAACTCCACCATTATTATCAACATAACCATTAATCCAATTTCACAATATCCAACATCATTTTCCATTTCCCAACATAACCATTAATCCAATTTCACAATATCCAACATCATTTTCCATTTCCCTTTCACAATTCCAAATATCCAAAGTTTAGGCTAAACCCTCCCCCCTCTTTTTTTTTTCAAAATCAATTATAAGAAAAGATTTCCATCATTTCAACACAACTCATCCATAACCATATTCCCACAACCCTTTTCAAGAATCAATTTGGAAAACCCTTTCACAATATCCAACATCATTTTCCATTTCCCTTTCACAATTCCAAATATCCAAAGTTTAGGCTAAACCCCCCCTCCTTTTTTTTTCAAAATCAATTATATGAAAATATTTCCATCATTTCAACACAACTCATCCATAACCATATTCCCACAACCCTTTTCAAGAATCAATTTGGAAAACCCTTTTTTTGATTTCAAACCAAACACTAAGTTTTATCAAAAATTCACAAATAACTAAACCTTTTCAAAGAGCAAATAACTAAGCTAAAAATCATATAACAGAATCAAAGAAACCCCTACCTGAAAGTAGAAGACACGAAGAAAAGATGGGTAGAACTTGACGGTGTCAAAAACACTAGATGCTCCGATTAAAAGGAAGCGCTCGACATGCTCAATGTTTTTCTTCAAAGGGCTAGGGTGAGGAAACTCACGGATTGAGAGTATTTGGAGCAAGAGTTCAAGAAGTAGAGAGAGAAAGAGTAGATCTAGGGTTTTGGAATGTTTAGAGAGAGAAAGGGACGAAAAAGTGACTAGAAATGACTGCCTCTCGGACTGATGTAAGTACAGACCGCTCAAGCGAAGAAATGGTCGCTCGAGCGATAGACACAAAAAGAAGACATCGTTCGTGCGATCGAACCACCGCTCAAGCACACAATGACCCCCTCCCAGTAGTTCAGACCTACAAAAGTTTGCTCAAGTGCAAGAAGGGCCGCTTGAGCGAAGAATTCTAACTCCTAGTAGTTACGCAAACTATAAAATACCACTCTGGCGCAAGAATGGTCGCTCGAGCGAACAAGCAAAATTCTGGGCAACAACTCTTTGAAAAACATACTTCCAAACTTGTTTCAAATACAACCAAAACCCCCAAGAGCCAAACCTAACAAACAATGAGATGGAAATGAGTTGAACAACAGTTAAATACACGGGTTCTCAGATCCAAAGCAATAAACGGGTCGGGTCTAAACTAGAATCGTTATAATCTTGCCCCTTAAGGAGTTTCGTCCCCGAAATTTAAAATCAACGAACATTAAAAGAAAGTGAAACAATTTCCATATCATCCAGATTGTAACAAGGATACACCACATCTTTCAATACCAACTATCATAGTTCAATTTCCCCAAACATATACAATGTTCATATATTACAACATTTACAAAAATATTAACATAAGCTTCAAATATTAATAAATAGGTTTGGATACTTCTTACGAACTTTTGCCTCACGCTCCCAAGTTGCCTCATCAACCATGTGGTGTCGCCATAACACCTTAACCAATGGAATAGCCTAGCCTCGCAAGATTTGGTCCCAAGAGTCTAAAACTCGTAGCGATCTCTCCTCATAGGAGACATCCTCATCTACCTCTAACTTGGTCCAATCTAACATGTGTGAAGGATCAGGTTCATACTTTTGGAGCATATAGATATGGAACACATCAAGAACCCCGAAAAGCTGGGGCAGCAACGCCAAATGATAAACTACCTCCCTGATCTGCACTGGAATCTCAAAAGGTCCAATAAACCGAGGAGGCAACTTCCTGCTCTTCCCAAATCTCATTAAACCTCGCCTCAGTGATATCTTCAAGAACATATAATCCCTTATCTCAAAAGACAACGGTCTCCTCCTACGGTCGGCATAGCTCTTCTAGCGACTCTAAGCCGAAGCCAACCTCTTACGGATAAGTGTAACCTTCTCAGTTGTTTCTCGGACTAGTTCAAAACCTAATATAGGTGTATCACCCACCTCGGCCCAACACACCGGAGATCTACAAGGTCGGACATACAAGGCCTCAAATGGTGCCATACCAATACTTGCTCGGAAATTGTTGTTATAGGAAAACTCCACCAAAGGTAAATGCCTCTCCCACGACCCCTTAAAATCAAGAACACAACCTTAAAGCATATCTTCTAAGACTTGAATGGTTTGCTCGGACTGCCCGTCAATCTAAGGATGATAGGCAGTGCTAAACGTCAATCTAGTGCCCAAGGCATTCTGTAGGCTCTACCACAATCAGGTAGTGAAATGTGGATCTTTATCCAATACAATAGTCACAGGGACCCCAAGAAGTCGAACTAGGTCCCTTACATAAAGGTCGGCAAGGTAATCTACCGAGTCACTCGTGTACAAAATGTGTTGACTTAGTTAACCGGTCAACTATTACCCGCATGACATCATTACCCTGTTGAGACCCACAACAAAATCTATTGTGACATACTCCCATTTCCACTCAGCTATAGGCAAAGGTTGTAACAAACCTGCAAGTTGCTGATGTTCAGCCTTCGCTTGTTGACAAAACAAACAAGGTTGCATCTTTCTTCCTCCCCCTTCACCAAAATTGGCGACTAAGATCTTGGTACATCTCCATGTTTCTCGGGTGTGCCGCAAGGCGTGAATGGTGAAACTCACGGAGTACCTCCTCTTTACAAGATTCTGGCATGAAAAGACGATCTGAGTACCTCACACTCGAGTCAGAATACACATTTAGGCACTTCTCCACCTTTCCACTAGCTATCTTCCCTCTGATAACCTTAACCTTGTGATCACCCCACTGTGCTTCTACAACTCAGCTCACTAATATAGGTTGTGCAACTACAGTGAATAAAATGGCCGACTCAACAAACTCGCCAAGATGTAAGTCAAACTCGCCAATAGCACCTAATATCTCCCATTTCTAGATAGGAATACTAGTTACATAGCTTATTGACTTCCTACTCAAGGCGTCGGCCACAATATTGGTCTTTCCGGAATGATAGTGCAATTCAAAATCATAATTCTCCATAAACTCCATTCACCTTCTCTATCTCAAATTCAAATCTTTTTGTGAAAACAAATACTTCAAACTCTTATGATCAGAAAAACCTCGAATTTCTAGCCATACAAGTAATGCCTCCAAATCTTTAAGGAAAAAATCATTACCACTAGTTCTAGGCCATGAGTTTAATAGTTTCTCTCATGGGTTTTCAACTACCGAGAATTGTATGCTACCACCTTCCCCCTCTTGCAT